AGTTCAACCCCATCTGACCTTTAATAATGTGTAAAACTGCTTAAGCCAGGAAGCCCTCGCCTTCATAAAACCATATATTCTTGGCCCTCTTTGCAGGGTTCATAAAGACCATTTCAATTAAGAAATCTATAGATGAACACACTTTTGTTTATATCTAGATCATTTCTTTTTATAAAAGGAGGTAGCTACGAAGCAAAATTTTGCTTATTTTTATTGTCACTTTAAAACTTTCTTTATTTTAAAGTAGCATTACAGGCAAATTGAAAATATGACTATGCTAAATTTTCAGGGATACACAAATCTATACCTGCTCCTTTGTACACCTACAATAATACTTAAAGTCAAGTTCATAACAATAATTGCTTATATTATATTAAGTGCTTTCTGTGTTCAGGATTCTAAATTATGCAGTTTATTTTTAAAGTATTTTTAATTTTTTAAATTTTATTTCATTGTGGTAAGAGCACATACCATGAGATCTACTGTCTGCACAAAATTTTGAACGTACATACAGTGTGGTCAACTCCAGGCCCAGTGTTAGACAGTACATGGCTAGAGCTGATTCGTCCTGCTGCACAGGCTGCGTTCATGCCTGTTGAGCAATGACTCCTCATTTCCCCTGCTCCAACCCTCTGCAACCGTCACTGTACTCTTGGATTCACTGCGTTTGACTACTTTAGATATTTCTGTAAGTAGAATCAGGAGTGCTTATCTTTCTGTGACTGACTTATTTCACTTAGCATAACATCCTTAAGTGAACCATGTAATTTGTATAGATTTTCTTATTTTATCCTCATGGAAACCCTATGATGTAGCTCCTATTATCTTCTCTGTTTAACACTTGAATAATTTGGAACTTGGAATATCTAAGTAACTGCCTGGAGACAGGCAGTGAACAAGTGGGACCCTATCCACCCATCCCGTGACTGTGGACTCTTTAGCTGTCTAAGACTTTCCCAGTATGACAGTGGTGGCACTTTCAGAGGTTTTTAGACAGGCTTCCCCTGATTCCATATGAATGCACAGAGGTTGAAAATACCTTAGAGACCTTCTCCAATCCTTCCTTACAACTTTCGCTTGGGCATTTAAATTTCTCTTTAGAAATAAATTGTTTATCCCAACAATTCAAGAGTTTAGAAATGCTCCCTATTCCAATCTGCTCTAGTTTGAAGCAGAATCTACTTTCTTGTTTTATAATCAGAGAAAATGGAGCATGAATAATCACTGTGCTACGTCTAATGACACCGTGGACTTGAACATCTATAAGTCCTTGCTTTCTGGATTTAATAATATCGTGTCTTCTCTTCTCTGCTACTACCTTTTTAGACCTTTCAGTTGCTCTTGTGACTTTTTCTAACTTTCTTCCTTGAATGAAAGAGCCTAAAACTAAATAAAGCATTTTGGGTCTGACTGGTGCTGTTGGCCAAACTCTGCTCTCCTGCTGACATGCCCTGCAATTGTGGTGTGCTTGGACCTCAAGGAATGGCTCTGCTCGGCAGTTCTGTCACTGGCTTCAGACGGCTGGGAGAAGCATCCAGAAGGGCGTGGCACAGAGCAGTGGTTTCCTCACTTTCTACACACCCAGATTTCTCTGGAGGTCTCTGGGTGGCATCCAGTGGTAAGGGTAGCTGACAGTGGGCAGACTTCTGGACCTCAGTCTCATTTAAGCCAGGACAGTTGTACCCTTACCTGTTTAATGTGTGAGCATGGCATGGAATTTAAGTGGAAATAAGAATTCCCAGTTTGGGCCAGGTGTGGTGGCTCATGCCTGTAATCCCTGCACTTGGGAGGTTGAGGTAGGTGGATTGCCTGAGCTCACAGGTTCGAGACCAGCCTGAAGAAGAGCAAGACCCTGTCTTTAAAAATAGCTGGGCGTTGTGGCAGTCACCTGTAGTCCCAGCTACTGTGGAGGCTGAAGCAAGAGGATCTCTTGAACCCAAGAATTTGAGGTTGCTGTGAGCTAAGATACCACAGCACTCTACCGAGGGTTATCAAGTGAGACTCTGTCTCAAAAAAAAAAAAAAAAAGTCCTAGTTCAAAAGATTAAAAAAAAAACTTGACAACCAGAGCTTTAGAGCAAGAGGGTAAGGAGTTTGAGTTCTGCCTCAGTTCCTAGTGGCCTCTCTTCACTGTGGGCAAAGCCAGTATATCTCTCTGCCTGGAGACTGTCTAGGAAATGGGGCCAAATCCTATTGTATAGGGTTGTTGTAGGATAAGCAGGAAGATAGGTGGAAGTCCCAGCACAGAGAAGCTTCTCTATGGCAGGATCCCATTTCTAATTGTGTTATTATTGGGAAAAAAAACCTCTAATGTCCTGCTGAGAATGTGCCAGCATTGTCATTGTGAAGTACAAAGGTTAGAATATTCATTTACTAGGACAGAACTTTTTTGTTTTTTGTAGATTTCAACCTGATTCAAGCCTGGAGTTGTTAATTAACATGCTGAGTGAGATGACTGATAGTCCATCTAAACTGAAGAAGAAATCGCTAAAAGGGGAGGAGCAGTGTTAATCCTATGACTCAGGTTCACAAGTAGAGTCAGTAGTCCCTGCCTGTTTCCATTTTTGATTATGTTCTGTAGGAAACAACTGATTTTTAAAGTGCCATTTTGATCCTTTTGAGCATCATGAAACATTCTGCTTGGGTCTGTCATATTCGTCTTTTCTCTTAGCAGCTAGCTCTGAGCCTGCCCTGGATATAGAGTGTGGCCTAGTAAGAAGTGGCAGACAGCGTGGCCACAGATTAGCAAGTCAAAGGGATGCTTTTCCACCCTGAGTCTTTGCACTTGCTGCAGAGCTGCTGGCCAGAGTGGTCCTCTGGCTCTCTGGGTCTACAAGCTTCTGTCCTCCTCGAACCCCCAGCTCCAATGTCATCTCTTCCACAATGTCTTTGCAGACTACCTTAGCAGATCCCTTGCCTTCCTTCATACACCTGGATTTGCAAGGATATCGGTCATTTATTCATGTTTTCACTATTGGTTCTTTTGGCTAAAGAGACAGATCTTCAAGTTTAGGGGTGGAGGTGGCATGCTCTGAGTTTGCCACAGGCACAGAGCACACACCCTGAAAAACTGGGAAAGAACACGTGAGTGAGTGAGTAGGAAAGACACAGAGCTTGGCTTGGCACATGTTAGTTCCCTGGAATTGTAACTATGGGTTATGTCCTGTAGCATTTTCTGTTTGCTCCTTTAGCTCTTTCAGAATAGGGAAATAATTTATAATATAGTAAAAAATTGTAATGTAGAAAAATATATATTTAAATGTGAATGGTTATCATTCGCTTTGTTGTAATTTAAATGGAAAAGAATGAGATTTTTATATATGTTACCATATGCTATGGGAAAATAGGCTGGGAAATTTTCTGCAGGTGCCTAGAACGTTATGTCGCAAATATTCACTCACATATAACACCAGAGGGTCATTTTTCTAACCTGGAGAGGGTGTTTATAACTTTCCTTCCATTTGTATACACACAATAGATAGTTGTACATAAATAGATATTCAACAGCTCCAGCAAAATTCCTACTGCCAAAGAGAAGAAAAATGTCAGAGTAAGCTGTAAAAAAAGTGCTTGGTTTTTTAAATGTAGAAATGGCAATTCACAGCATTTATACAAATTGCCGTATACTGCGGGTTGGAACTCTGAATAGTGAAAAAAAAAAAGTTGCAGCTAAGAGCAAATCTGAGGACACTTGTTTGGAAAGTGAAGGCTTAGTCAGTATTATAGCATTCTGGCAATCAGCATATCATTAGCTAGTCTGCTTTGTATTAGGGTTGAGACTTCATGTATTGGTTTTCTTGTATGTAAGCTCTGATTAAAACTCTATAAACAATGTTCAAAAAGGATTTATCTTGGATAAAACAAGGACAATTCACTTTTTAAAAGTCTCCCTTATATTTCTGGTATAATCTGTGACAATTTTTATCAATACGATTAATCTAATGGCTGGATGGATCTAACATTTTGTACTTTATTCTTTTGTTATAAATTTACACACATGCTGTGAGTTCTATACATATACAGAAACGTGAGTTGGTTTAGCAGAAAATATAAATAGCTTCAAAATGAGTTAGATAAATTAGAAAGTGAGATTCACAGTGAGAATTTTAGGGTAAATCATATATGGTAAGTTTTCCCTGCAATGTCATCCCTTAGAAGCGGAACATAAAGTTGGATTAGACTAATGGTGTACTGGAAGGTGTTATGCATTTGTTTTTTGAGCTCTTTTTTCCATATCAGTTTACTCACTATCTATTTTCCTTAATTAAAAACTGATTTTTATAATTATTTTAGAGTGGTTGGGATAGGACTAGATACTTGTGAATGAAAAAAAAATTTTTGTGTGTGTAAGAGAGTAAGATGGAATCCAGAGCCCTGTTAATAAAGGGCCACAGTTAAGAAAGTAACAGCCACATCTGAACTTGAGATGACACAGTGTCTCCTATCTACAGCCCCTTTCTCTCAGGTTATCTCCCTGAGAATGCTAAAAACATGAGACCATTCAGAGTTGACTCTCGAGAACTAGGGTTTAAGATATTCTAAAGCACAACATATTTTTAAGTGGCGTTTTATTTTCAAACAAAATCACGTGGATTTTTTTTCCCCCCTGACAGCTTAATGATGCTTTAATGAGTCCAGAACTTCAAACAGTTGGCCTCTCCTCAGTCAAGGGCAAAGGGATGTGGGTCGGGGAGGCAATTTAAGAGTGGGATAGGAAAAACAGAAATTCAGCACAGGATTAAGGAAATGCTGTGACTAATCCACAAAACCAATAATCCACAGTTGGACAATATTTTACAAAAGGCCCAGAAGATGCTGCTCTGCTCTTCTGGGGATGAACAAGTATTCCCGTAACATACAGCCTTCTTTAGGATTTACTTTTCTCTTTTGACAAAGAAGACTGTGCAAAATTCTAACGTGATCTTTTATGCCTTTAAATGACTATCAAAATCTGCATGGAGATGGCCACATCCGTCAGGATACGGCACAATCGCATGTTACCTTGGATACGAGACTAGCTCTGTAGGCCGCTAGTTGCTTCAGGTACTCCTTCTTTGCAGCCTCAGTTTTCTTTTTATAGACCTGTAACAACAACATGTCTTAAATTAGAAAGTGCATCTGCTTTTGCTTTTAGAGAAGTACAATACAGAATGATAACTGTGCACACAGAACACACCTATGTTATATAATATAATGATATATATCTCTCCTAAAATCATGTTTTCTTACTAAAATAGGCTTTTAAGAAGTACGGCAATAGAGTGGATAACAAGATGATTAACAACAGTAATAATTTACATTTCACACAGAGCATACGAAAGCATTTATCTGGGTTACTTTGAACATGGAGGTAGCTGGATTAGAAAGATACTGTTGTTGAAGCTTCCTAGGGAAACCACACTAATAAGGCATTCCTACCCAAACAAAGGGCAGGTAATTCCACAGTGCATTCATACTTGATATCCTATGTGTTCCACACTAAATACAAAAACAAAGAGTAAATTCAATGATGACAAATCACATTCAATAAGCAAATCAAAGGAAATGCAATGGAATTGTAAGATTTTCAGTCGTGAAGCCCTATTTTCAAAGAGTCAGGAAATAAAATAGTGATGGCAGCCAGGGACACATTTGAAGGGACAGCCTGAGTTGCTGAGGACAGCACGTTTGCCCCCCCTTGCAGCCTGCTCTGGCCAGACGCTTTCCAACAAAAACCCTGGGTGGCATGGATCTGTGGCCACCTCATATTGAAAAGTAAAAATGATATGAAATGAATTTCAATTTACAGAAGTTTTTCATTTCTGAGAGGGAATCATCTTGAAAATAAAAGTAAAATCATCTTAAATTGAGCAAAAGTACTGAAAAATGACTTGCTTGCATGCTAAAGGTCATCTTGCTAAGTTAAACAGAGAGCAGTAGTTAGATTTGAAAATGAAAGATTAGCAAAGTGAACACATGTGGTCGTCTGCTA